CCCACAACCCGCCCCCCGCACCCACCCACCAGCCCCACTCCCCACCCCCCGACCCCGCCCAACCCCCCCAAATAACCCCAAACCCTCCAACTGCCTTGGGCTTGAGGTGGATGCCCCCAACTGCCTTTGGCCTGTGTTTGGCCCCATACTCGTATCCAGCCCAGGGCCTGCTTTCCATACATTCACACAGGCAGTCCAGGACCTGGGTTCCCTCAACCAACTGACACCGGACTCATGCAACCTACTACAGGCCCAATTTTGTGTGTGTGTGTGTGTGTTTTTCCTTTTTTCAATTTGCTTTTTATGGTTTTGATTTTTTTAAAATACACGAAGTTTCAAAAAAATAAAATAAAAAATACATTGTTGTACATCTTTGAAAGATCTACAACCCTATATTACTTATTTATTTTTTTTTGTTTTCGTTTTAGCCCTTGAAAAATCTGTATGAAACCCAAAACAAAAACATTTATTTCATTTTCGTTATGTTTTTGATTTAAAAAAAATAGATTTGAGCATCAAAAAATAAAAATAAAAATACAGGGTTGTAGTCCTCCACAAAACCTACAACCCCATTTTTTTTGTTTTTTTTTTAGATAATTTTTAGCCCACGAAAAAAATCATCCCGGACCCCGTTAATTCCCGTTCAACTCGCGTTTGAACGAGAGTTTAACGCGAATTCAACGCACGTTGAATTTTTCAACGCGAAACCTGCGTTAAATCCAATTTCGGACACACAGGTCGTGCCCCTTCTATCTCGTTTCTGCTTCTTCCGTGGTTTTTCCTCTCGTCAAGTTATCATCAAGTCGCCTCGCCATCACTCCCTCCATTCTTTGCGAGCGACATTTCCACCTCCTTCGCGTTCCCATCCGTAGTTCTCTCAACTTTCGGCCTGCGCAACCTCCTCAATCTGCTGTTCCGGTCACCTCGAGAGAGCGACTGCACAGGGACCTTGAAAGGAATCAGCAACTAACGGCTCGATTAGCCTTTCGCCCCTATACCCAGTACGACGAGATGAAAACTCAGTACCGTCGTGGACCTCTGCCACAACGCCCATTGACTCTACCTTTTCCTAACGCTAAGCGCCTAGACCCGGCCTCCGTCTTCGACTAGATTCAGATAGCCAATGCCCACCCCTTCACACGTTCGAGTTTTTACAAATGTCTCGAAGGACAAGCGCGAACAGGTAATTTTCGGCTCCTCCTCAGGAGTCTTCCGCTGATTGCGTCACTCAAGCAGAGCCCCGTCTGTCGGGTTCGTGTGGGCACACTCACGCTCAGACCTCTCACGGCAGACTCACGATTGGTCAACAGTGTTCTGCGAAAACCTCTGCCACTCAAGTTCTCTTCCATCCCGTGGGCCGAGTCGCCCACCGATTCTCACGCACATTGGCTTCCTCGGTCCACGTCTTAAGAAGAGGAGATAGCGGAACTTCACCAGTTTCCTGAACACACCGGAACCCAAAACAAGCTTTCCAAAAGTGAAGCGTACTCAAGGTTTTCGGTTGCCTTGACGACCTTTAATTATGAAGTCGCGTCCGATTAGGGAATGCCGACGCAAGAAGAAATAACAATAGTTGGAATAATTATTACAGGTCAGAAGTCGCACGACGAGGAGAAGGAAAATGCTGAGCTCATTAATACCTCCTTAGTACCGACGCGCAACATGTAGACTGCCATACCATGGGGATGGCCCTCGTCGGAACCTCAACCCATCATGTCCCTTCGTCTTGTCCCAATACACTATTCTGATATCCCTCGTTGTCGCAACTCGATTTCGATCCTTGAATCTCTTTGATGAGAATCCAACAGTGTAACCAATAGTGCTTAGCCCAGGGCTGAGTCTCGTATTGAATGACACCCAAATAAATGGATACTGTGTGACGCGCGGATCTACTGAAATGTTTCAAAATCACATTGTAGCCGACATCGCCCTCCGCACGTACGCACAAGTCAGAAGTAAGCACCCCAAACAGGAGACAAAATCCTTTTAATCTTAGCATAATTCGGAAATAAAAATTGGGCCAACAACTACGTCGACTTCGCTATTATCAATAATCAGAGAGATCATGCGAGCCTTAAACCTGCGCGCCCACAAACTCTCTACTGTAGTCAACTATCCAGTCAACGTAAATCGCAGACTCAGCCTCGCCTCGCGCGGTATACTTAGACTTTAAACCAAACTGATTTTCTGCCACTTGCAAAAAAACAGGGCGGATACCCTTGTAAGGGTATTCGCACCGACACCACGTCGAGGCCCCCGCGAGGAATGATCGCATCACGTCTATTTCCATTCCCGAACATATCGCAACAGTAGTATGGGGTCCAATCGCAAGGACAGAAGCCCATAGTCACTGCAGACCACGAGGAATAGTCACATATTTGCTACTATGGCCAATGGGGAAAGTTTGGATGTTGGCAAACTGGGTGGCATTCCTGGTTGAACAGCAACAGCTACGATTTCTCGCCAGTGTCCTGCCGAAGGACTAAGTCCGCCCGAATCCAGTCATCGAATAGCGTCGTGTGTGAATCATTGGACGACGAGCACCATCGTCAAGCGGCGTGCAGTCCTCCTACGTTCGCACTTTGCACAAAGCCCAAAAGCTTCGAAACCAATTGTAGTCCGCCTGCATCCGAATTTCGCATATTGAGTGGGGGCCACTGACCGTCAAGCCGACAACCCCCTTGTTGCAGCGGGAAGTGTCCGTGCCGCGAGCTTTACCAACAACGGATTTCAACTTCGGTTTCAGTGTTGGGGCAGCGCGAGCTTCAAACAGGGTCACCCTGCGATTCTAGTGCGACATGCCCACGGTCTACGTCCGTCGGCATCCGAACTTCACAAAATCTTGTTGCATCACTGGCTCAGACGCCCGGGTGCGGAATAGCTTCAGACCCGATGTGATTGTCGCCCGACCACCTACAAGAAGTGTTAAGCAATCGTTCGTTATCTTTACGAATTGCCAAAAGCACACCTAGGGGTCCTTAACGCGGGGTTTGGGTCCGTTTGGTGCAGAGTTTCGCGCTGCCTAAACAGATTTGGGGTGCAGTGACCACAAGGTCCCCGTCGTGAGAGCTTCGCGCTTCATGAATCTCATAGAGATCCCGGTTGGTGCACCTTCTTGTTGGATCTGGATCTATTTTGAGCTGAGTTCCACACTCCGCAAATAGAATTTCCCTCCAATTCCCGCAGATTATCAGTTGTTCGAGCAGTGTTTCGGGATGCGTAAACGCAAATAGGGAGAGTTTGGTGGACCTTCTGTTGGATCTGGATCTGTTTTGAGCAGAGTTTCGCACTCCACAAACAGAATTTCCCTCTAGTTCCCGCAGGTTTTCAGTTGTTCGGGCAGTCTGTTGAGATGCTAAATCACAACTGGGGCGAGTTTGGTGGACATTATTTTTGGATCTGGATTTGTTTTTAGCAGAGTTTCACACTCCACAAACAAAATTCCCCTCCAGTTCTCGTAGGTTATTAGTTCTTCGGGCAGTCTTTCGAAATGCTCAATAGCAACTGGGACGAGTTTGGTAGGCCTCCTGGGATTGTGGACCACTTGAAGTTCGCCGGCATCCAAACTACGGATGCCGCACGGTGCTATAAATCTCAAGAGAATTAAAGCTTTGGCAATTCAACCAGAAAGGAAGTTCGCCAATGCCACACAGTTTCGGTCGAAGTTCGCCGACATCCGAGAGAGTGTGCAGTTCCCTGTCGCTGTCGACAAGAATTCGTCATTTGCAGAAAACGAAAGAGAACTCCAAATTCATTCGCGCAAATGCGAGAACTGAGGGTTCCGTGTTGTGTTCAACAAAGATAATTTCCTTGTCCGTGACTGTGATGTACCGCACTCAGCGCACTGCCCTTCCCGAAGTGTTCGAAACTTGGATCGCGACGAACTTAGGTCATATCCTCACGCTGCCATCAATACCGGTGAAAATTATAATCGCGTCAAGGCCCGCACAAGGAATAGTCGCATGACGTGTGTTTCCTTTGCAAAGATTGTTTGTGTTGTTCGACGAGGGGTGTTGAAGGGCTTCGTGTGCGAAGCTCGCCGGAATCCGAACTTCTTGCTTTCGAAACGACGTAATGAGGCAGTTTAGGGTTTCCCGCCTACGCTTGTGATGCTTCATCACAGCCTGCGTCGTCGTTTGACTGTGACTGGACTGTTACTGTTGTGGTTTGCCCAAACCAAACCGCGTGGTGGGTTGCTTCATTTGCATTATCGTTCGCAGACACGATGTCTTCATCGAGGGGCGACGGGGAGCCTATCGGGACCTCCGGAAGAGAATCTGGAAAAGAATGCACGAGACGGTCGTCTACGGCCTCGAAATCGTGGTCGGACCACACAAGGTCGAAATGGTTCGTCGACTGGTGTTGTGGAGATGCTTCGAACCCTGTTAAACAGGCGTGTAGCCGTGTCATCTTCTTCGACGCCAACAAGCGGTGTACGGTGCTTGGGGCCGTCTTGTGGTGGGAGGACGCGAAAGGGAGTCGTCGACAGTTTTATATGAAAACTGTTTACAGTGCGAAGGGCAATGTCGCGCCAATTCCAAAGGGGCGCTGCTGGACATGGATTTTTTCGAGGGGTTCGGAGCGGGTGTTGTGAACACCCCATTCTACAACGACCTCCTTCAACAGGGAGGGTTTGTTTTGGCTCGAGAGTTTTTTAACTTGTTGGAGGAGAAGGACATCGGCCTCGACGTCCCCTGCGACGCCGGCCCTCCCAAGGAGCTGTCAATGCCCTTGCAGCTGTGCGGCGGTTGTAAATCAAGCGGGGCTGCGTCGGAGGGGGGGGATCTGGGTTTTGGTGCGGCTTCTCAGCTGCAACGGGGGGAGAGCCGCAATCAATTTGACGACAACGAAGATGAGGCAACAGCGCTGACGACGTCTTCGCTGTTGAGTCGAAGAGACCGGTCCGTGCTGTCTATACCTGGGGTCCAGCAAGCAGCTCCAGTTCGAGAGATCGCTATGGCTCCCGCAAAGGTGGCAGTCCACTATGAGGTCGAGTTGGAGACTGCCGAGGGCCATGGCACAGAGGACGAGACCGTGGGCGGAGAGCGAACGTCGGACACTCCGCAAAAGAGAAGGGGAGATTGTCAAGTCGACGTTGTCGGCTCTTCGAAGAAACATAAGACCAAGGCCCCGAAGAGTGTGGGGGAGAAACGGAAGGGAACAGGGGGGGGAACAGGACCGGCCGGGTAGCAAACGTCCGGCCTCGAAACACAAGCAGCCTGCGTCACGACCTTCCTCGCCACGACCTCCCATCGATGTCGACGCCGGGTACTTCCTGGAGTACAAAGACGGCGTCAGCACAAAGTGGGAGTTCGAGATTAGCCCGGCTCAGGTCGTCGACCTTGGGGAGTGGGAGGATCTATACAACCAGTGGTCCCTAGATCTTGTCCTCGTGGAGGGGATCAAAGAAGCGATGCGGTTGGTGTATGACAACAAAGAACAGTTGTACGAGTTACCAACCCTGAAGCTCACACCGGTGGGGCTGCAAAAATCAACTCCCGGGGCGAAGGCCGTTCGGCTGAAGCCAGAGGACAAGAAGGACGAGCTGGCGGACCAATACTACTATTACGTGGTGTGTGGGCAACACAACGTGGCTGTCGCCAGGTCACTGCTCGACAACGAGGTGGCCAAGAAGTCCAATTTCGAGAGGTGGCCGGTACGTATGGTGTACTTTTCGGACGACAACTTCGAAGGGTCGACAACTTCGACCGAAGTCGTACGTATGGGCCTGGGGCGGCCACGCGGTCGTGGGCCGACCGCGGGCCCACAACCGAGGTCGCGTGGCCGAGTTCTCGCGTGGCCACCCCAGTCCCAGGAGGGGGCGCGTGCGGAAAAAAATCGTGCGCGCGCGGCCGTCGCACGTCGGCCTCTATGGCCCTGTTAAAAAAAAACTTAAAAAAAAATAAAAATTTAGGGGGGTATTTTCTGGTGTGTGAGAAAAAAAAAAAAAAATAGAAAAAAATAAATATCGATTGATTGATAGTTTTTTTTGTTGATAGATTGATTGATTGGTTTATTGATTGATTGATTGATTGATTTGTTGGGGAGGGGTTCTCCCTCCCCTCTCATGGCACATGAGGTGCTATGTTGCACGCTGGCTGCGGCCGGGTTCGGTCCAGGCTGCGGCCGGCGGCCCAGGCCGGGACCCCCCCGGCCGTGGTCAGTCCGGCTGAGTTTTTTCGGCCGCTGCCGTGGC